GAAAAACCTGGTTTTCCGGAGATCCTTTAAGCCTATGGGCCATAAATTCTTTCATTGGAATTTGATAGATCTCGTCGAGTTCTTTCATTTGAGACCAAAATGAACGCTCTAGCTCATGGATAAGGGGCCGAAAAGGATCTGCAATAGAGGCCTTTTTGACTGGGAAAACCTCTTTTACGCTGAAAAGGTATTTTCCCTCTAACTTGTTTTTCGACAACGCTAGAGATCTGCGGTTTTCACTATTGGATTCAGCGTCCAAAACTGCATCTGGTGATCTGTATCTCACAGCTGGCGCCGCAAGTCGATGTAATGATGGTAGGTTCTTAATGGAAACACCCAAAGAGTATCGAGATTGTTATAAGCTACAAAAGATTTGTGCCAACGGCTTTTCCTTCAGGAGTTTTGGCGGTTTTTCTGGATTTCCAAGCAAAAAACAGCAGAAATGGAAAAATTCATATCTCCGTCCAGAAAAATAGTTAAGAGTTCAATTTCTTTCTATTTGCGATATTCATACAAGGTTCCATCTTTACAACTCATTCCATTCCCGAGTTATTGAATTTTAAATTTTCCATAGATTAGCGCTTTGACAGGCTCACAATATATTGGCTTTCGAAACCGTTAGTTTTCTACTAGAACTGTTGAAACTTTCGTAAATGATACGGTTTTGATTAGCACACACAGAAAACTAATCACAATTATATAACTTGAATGTTTTGTATCTTCGGCTTTCAAGAAGTGTCGGTCTCTGGAGAGCTCAGCATCTACAGCGAGCTTGAGATATCTTTTCTGTTTTTCTTAGCGAAATTAGACTATAAAACCATATCATTTACGAAAGTTTCAACAGTTCTAGTAGAAAACTAACGGTTTCGAAAGCCATGATATTGTGAGCCTGTCAAAGCGCCAATCTATGGAAAACTTAAAATTCAATAACTCGGGAATGGAATGAGTTGTAAAGATGGAACCTTGTATGAATATCATAGATAGAAAGAAATTTGAACTCTTAACTATTTTCTGGACGGAGATATGAATTTTTCCATTTCTGCTATTTTTTACTTGAAAATCCAGAAAACCATAACTCCTGAAGGAAAAGCCGTTGGCACAAATCTTTTGTAGCTTATAACAATCTCGATATCCTCTATCGATTGATGTATGAACGAACGAAATCGGAGATTAGCATGTCCATAGGATGCCGAGTCAGTAGACCAATCAACGCCGAAATGCAAGAGTTGTATCGTGTAAAGGTTTACTTCTAGCACGGTAGTAAGTCTAGTGTAGATAAACACAACAAAAAAAGACAATTTAAAATTGCTTCTACACCAAAGTAAAATTATCCTCTTTTTACATATAGAAAATAAACGATACAACGGCTATTTCGTTCACTCATATGAATACGCTATGTGTCATCCAAATACGACAAAAATTAATGTGTAAGTTACGTTTGTAACAGCAACATCTAACAACTCGTCTAGTCATTTTACTATATGAAATAAGTTTAATAATATATCAAGCAAGAAAACCCTAACTTTGTTAACATTTGAATTAAAAGAGAATACGAATTATTAATTGTCGTTCTGTTCGGCTCTATCAATCAATTTTTGTGTTTCAATTAAAATCGAAAGACCTGCTGGATAAATTTTCTTTTGAATTTCCATTGCTCTTTTGTAATAAACCAACGCTTCTTCATGCATACTTTTGCCGGTGTAATATTGAGCAACCAGCGTTAAACAGTTGGCTGTTGTAGCATATTCTAAATGAACATTTTTCTCTAGAATGTGTAAGGCTCTTTTATATGCTTGAATTTTTTGATTATCATCTTCTTCGTAAAGTTCGCCTAGTTTCATTAAAAGGTAAGCAATACCGGTGTGATTTTCAGATAGATGCTGTTCGTACAAAGACAGCTGTTCGCGACAAAAATCAATGGCATGTGTATTGTTGTCGTTTTGTTTTGCGTATAGATCAGTTAATGCTCTAATACAATTTGTTCGTCGTCGATCATCGAGGAGTAAAACTGTCTTGCTCATTTGAATGCAGTCAAGTAAAAGTCTTGAGCTTGCTGGTAATCTTGTTTAGCCAAGTGAATATCTCCGATTATTCCATGACAATGCAGAATTTCAGCTTGGGGACAAGACTGAATTTGTTGAAGGATGTCACGTG